TATATCCCTAGATGACTTAGTTTTAATCATAAGACTAAAATCTATATTAAGGAAAATCAGTTTTGATGGAGGCATTTTATGTATAGTTAAAAGTGCTTTTGTTTAATCGTCTCTCTTTCCATTGGGAAGGAACCTTGACAGTAGTTGTTAAGAAAAATACCTGCAATGTTTATATTATGTTGGGTACAAATTAATTGGACTAAATAATATATATGTTCAACAAATAATTTAAAAATTACATGCTAAAGAAAGGAAAGTCGTTGCTATTGGTAGATATCTTTTAGAAAGCCTGAAGGGTCATCTTTTCCACTTCTGTTTCAGAATCCTTGAGAAGATCCGTTTGGCAACATCCATTTTTAAGAAGCCTTTCAGGAGGTACCTGGATGGCTCTGTTGGTTAAGCATCTGACTCTTAATTTTGGCTCAGGTCATGATCTCACGGGTTCCAGAGATCGAGCCTTGAGGCGGCAGCACAGAGTCCGCTTGGGATTCTCTCTCTCCCCCTCTCTCTGCCCCTCCCTCCTGTATGCATGCATGCTCTCTCTCAAAATAAATAAATAAATTAAAAAAAAAACTTCTCAGGTAGTTTTTATACACAATAATGTTTAGAACCATTGCTGAACTCTCCGCCTGCAGTATTATCCTACTGGCTTCTGGCCCTTTTGATGGAAACTACTCTTCCTCCATGAGGGGAAGAACTAGGGTGAGCCCAGGTACTGGGCCCGATGACCTGCTATGACCTGTGCCCTGAAATTTCCAAAGCTTTCAGTGTCAATCTTAGTTTCAGAGTCCTTAGCTCTGAGTCCTTTCTCAACTGTGACTCCTATGGTGATGGAAGAGATCATGTGAGTGGTGACACATTTCCCCGAAATATATTTCCTGGCAAGGTAGAAATTGTAGGTGAGGAAATGTAAGAGAGCTTCAGTCGTCTTCTGGAGCTGGGTTTGAAGTTTATTTTAAAGGCCGATACCTGCTACCCTCCTCTTTAGTGGAAAGAAAATGGGCTGTGGATTCAGGTATGCCTGGGTTAGAAGTGTGCCTCTCTCATTTACTGGCTTTACTAGCAACTCTGAACACTCCCCTAACTCCAGTGTCCACATCTGAAAAGTAGGCTCAGTAATTGTTAAATTCTAAGGTTATTGTGAGGATTAATAATGACCTGATGCACATTTTTAGAATGCTTCAGCATATCTTTAATAGTTCTTATCCCAAGTAGGCATTTCAATAAATGATGACTATTATTTAGCAACTTAAGGCAAATATGCCTTATGAAGTTAACCATTTACAAGCTATATGACTTTGTCACATTATGATGTATATATTTTTCTGATCTAATGTGGTAGGATAGCTAGAAATGAGGAAGATACAGCATATGTGTAGGGAGTTTTTTGGGGCAAGGGGAAACAACGTAGGTGCCTTTTTTGTTGTTGTTGCTACCCATATCCTAGTAAGTTCTAAATCTGATTTTAGCCCAGACCTTTCTTAAAGCTCCAGACTATTATAGCTCTGATGTTTACATTGAAATCTGTGCAAGACATCTCCAGTAGGTAATTCTTTAATATGTCCTAGTGTAACTTGGTCTCTTTCCTCCAACAACTGATCTTCTTCCAGGTTTCCTTACACCTCTGAATGGAATTGTTCTCTAACTTCATCCTCCACAAAACTGAATCTTTCACCAAATTCTTCTGTTGGCCCATAAATATTTCTGCCTTCTCTTCCCCATCTTGACCACCATCACTTTAGTCTAATCTACTGTCGCCTCACACCTAACTCCTCCCCTGTACCTTTCTTGTCTCCATAACTCTGCCAAATTTGATAATTTTTCAATGTGTAATTGATTCTCATACCGTATTTAAAACCCTGTGGTACTTTTGCCTTATTGATTTCTTCCGATCCATTTTGTGGCACATATATTCCCTCTCTAGCTGTGACTGGCCCCTCTGCTTCTCTTTCTTGACTCAGAATGTGCTTATCTCATAATGCTTTGAGACCTAAGTACTTGCTATTCCTAGACTGCCCCATACTTTTCAGATCTCATCTTAAGTAGTCTTTCTTTAGGTCTTTGCTGACCTTGGGGCTAAATCAAGTCTCCTGTTATAAAATCTCATGGCTCACCCCTTCCCCTATTTTTAATAGCATTGATCTCTGTTTGTAGTTATGTATTTGCATCATTATTGGATACTGTCTGATATCTTAAGTAAATTGTAAGTTCTATGAGGGCTGAGAATTTGTTTTCAAAGACCTAGAATAGTCCTTACAACAGATGAGAAGTAATAAATGACTGCCTGAAACACATAACTAGGCAATTAAAATACAAAGTGTTTAATTCTAAAGTGAGGTAAGTACAGATGGAGTCACAGTGTTGGCATATTAAACATTGTTATTTGGGAATACTTTAGTTATTGTAGCATTTGTTTGATCGGCCTCTAATTTTACTTTTTCTATTAAAAATGAAGATAAGTAGTATTTTGAATTTTAAATTTCCCAGTACAGATAAAGATCTTTCAGAAGTTGATTGTACTTGAATGTAGCCGCAGAGTAAAAACTTTCCCCTTTCTTTACATCTGCACAGGATTTTGGAAGCTTACAGTTCAAAAACATATAGCTGATGACATACTTCTTGATGCTTACCATATGGAATGTGTTCATGTATGTTTGTTGCCTAAGGCATAGCAATTTTAAAATACTACCAGAATTTACAAAGTCAGGAAATCATAGATTTTATAGTAGGTTTCTCAGTTTTTATTAAAATTAAAAAGGAATCAAGAAGATTAATATAATATTGGAATTCAGCTTCTGTGTTGCTTGTTGGTATTTGGAACTCAAGTAAAGTGCATGACTGTTGTTGGCAGCTTGACCGTTATTGTGAAAACTCTTAAGACTTCAGTATCTTCTTGAAAGTTGGTTTAGTACCAGTGTTTACATTTTAAATTTAGTGCTTTCAATAAGATTTTGGTTTCCACCTCTCCTGAATTCTCCCTAGGAGTGCACAACGTCAAAAATAAAGAGGCACAGTCAGCAGAAAAAAGAGGTGGTCTGAGCATTTATGTGTTAAATATGCATGTTAATTAGGAAAAAAATTAGAAAAATATGAAAACAGATGTTACATAAATTATTGCAGTCCCAGGGCAGCAGTAACTTATACACTGACAATAATTTTTATATGTGCATGTGTACATCTATTTCTAGATTTTCTCAATATTTATGCAATTCCATGGAGAATAACTAGAAAAAGAACTGGTATATCCTTTCAGTGATACTAATGGTAAACATTTTTTCTGCATATCAATGGCTGAAGAAGTCTAGTTTCATACAGTCTTACTGTAAGATAAAGCCTCTGTGTTAGCTAACTCTGCCTTGTAGGTCTTTTTCTCCTTTTGGGTTTCTCTGATGGTATGCCAACGAAATATTTCATTGAATATATCCTGTCAGAGCAAGAAAGTAAATTACTTCCCAAACAGTGTGTGAAATGTAGAATTGACCTGAGCGTAAAGTATGTATTTAGAAATAAAACAAATTATAACTACTCAGTATACTGATTATATTAGCAGTGTTTCTTTGGTTATGAAGAAATAACCATTATGAAGAATTAGCCATCATTCTCTGAATAGGATTGACAATGTAGTGTGACAAACTATATTAACTCATAACATAAACACACGTTTGTCAAATACACGTGTATTTGAATAATTGAAAGATATTTGAATGTCCTTCCTTACAAAAAGTCATCCACAGAATAAAAGTGGTCTGTGTTTTTACAAGGGAAAGATAAGAAATGGAGACATGTAGCAATTTTTAGCTCAACCATACAGAAAAACATGTGACTATATTACTGTCCAAAGAGGTATTGACCATATTTAGTCACATGCATATGTAATTTAGAAATGAGTTGTTGGTAACTTTTCGGATAGGATTGAAAGTTAAAATGAGGAAATGCTACATCAGAATGTAATAAATCATTCTATCAAACAAACAGAACATGAATTGTTTTCAATACAAGAGCATAAAAGTTTCTGGAAATCTGTCTAGAGGTCAGTGCCACATTCATTTCTCTTTAGAAATCCTACTTCGTTACTTGGTTTCAATAGCATATGATGCTAAAATATGTTTTAAGTAATTTCTTTTGAAATCAATAGGTTTCACTTATATCTGTTATCATAATACTTTTCAGTTCTGTGGTATTTATTTATGTTTCACAGTACATTACCTAATTACTTTTGTCCTTTTGTACATATGTTGAGCTACTAGTAAGTTCTGATAGGTTATAGGAAATAAACTAATATAGAATAAAATCTAGAGGAAAGTTTTAGTAATGTTTAGTAATTTGATATTAAGAGGTTCTTAAGTTAGATAGCTATTTAAGAAATCTGTCATTCTTGCAGATTTCATGTAGGTAGTATCTGTGTCTGATATGAGTTTTAGAAGAATATTATTAAAGGTGATAAGACATTTTTCTTTCTCCCTATTCAAAAAAGCTAGGGAAATTAATTTTTGCATCACAAATAATATTTACTTGTTACACTGATATATCAGTATTCAAATTTTACATTTTATTAATGTTTGGAATCCTTTTCAATGGAATTTTTTCCCCATGTTTGTTTTCAAATGGCAGATTTCCATTTTTTTAACTCTATGTAATTTTAGTACTTGGTATTATTTTACTATGCATTAGAATAGTGTGTTCATTATTTGGACACTTTTGTCAGTGAAATGAAGTTGTAGTTGTAACATGTGATTTGATTTATATAGAGATGTTTTAGATTTAAAAACATTTTTAAAAGTTTACCATTTATTGTAAGTATAATAAAATGACTTCCTTTCTTCCCGAAGTTAAAATAGATGATGGAAAGAATGATTAGACAGTAGGCTAACACTGAAGCCAGAAGCCTAAAACAGTAGGATGTAAATTTTTTCAGCTTGCCTTTTGTATTGTTTGCTTTGGTTCAGGGTTCTTTCTGGGATAGGAATGTGTGAAGCTGTTTTATTTATTTATTTTTCTAGGTATTTGCTTCTTTGTCAGCAGCGCTCAAGTGATCTCTACTTCTTCATTCTTCTTTGCTTCCTGTCTGCTAACCAAGACTTGTGTTTGGAGAACTCTTTTGTACTGAATCTGAAGTCATCTTTGACCTATAATAAGAGCATGCATTTTCAAATGTCAATTAGATTTTTGGATCAATAAAGGTCTCCTGTAAGGTAAGCATATATTTATTCAAAATGTACATTTAAAAATTGAATACTATTAATATCTGTCTTAGTTTCTTAGGGCTGCTCTAACAAAAATCCCATAGACTTGGTGACTTATAAACAACAGAAATTTAGTTCTCCTAGTTCTCAGTCTTCACAGAGATGGAGAAGTCCAAGATAAAGCAGATTCAGTGCTTGATTCACAGACTACCATTACATTGGGAATTAAGATTTCAACATGTGAGTTTTGGGGGGGCATAGACACTTATCCATAGTAATAAGTTCTGTAGATTCGTGTGTGTGTGTATTTATATATTCTGCCAGATTTAGGTTGTAGGCTTCTTCAGGGAATGATGTTGTTCTCTAACACAGTTATTCAGAGTTCCCTGATTATTTTCTTTGCACTTCTTACATCTATCTAGTCATCAGTCCAATCTTTTCCTTTCCCTTATTGTTTTCCTTCTCCTTTAACTGAACCTTCTTGGGGGTCCTTAAAAAATGTTTTCCTGTCAGCAGACTTTCAGTACTTTCCATATAGAGTGCTTTTGGTATCCATATCTCTTTCTCTCCCCTCTCCTCTGTCTTCATTAAATTTGTGAAAGGAATAGCAAAACTAGAATTATTGAACTTAAGAGCTGAAGGTGTCTCGGATAGGCATTCACATTTATTTTAACACAACCCATTGTAAGGAATAAATCTTACATTTATGAGCCATTTTCCACAGGTATAAATGTTCCAATGAAAGTGAAACAAATGTTGAAATAATTTTTACCCTACCTACCTGGAATGTATGCTGTTCTCTATTCTAATTTTTGTGTATTTCATTTACTACATGCACCTTCCCATAACTAAATGTATTTCCCTATTCTAATAATGGATTACCTTTGCAATTTCAGAAACCATATTTACGTCACTTGTGTATTTGTTCGTGACTGACTCATTGGGAAGTAAATGGATTCAGACAGTTTGTTTTCTATCTCAGTCAAGCTGTCCTTTATCTTGTCTTCTCCATGCTTCTCATCTCTTACATTCACTACAAGCTTTCAAATGATGTGGTCAAAGAGCTGGGTAGCTACTGGGAAACACCAGAGCACTTGGTTGGTTCTTCTGTAGTGAGAACACAGCTACATATGGTCATATCTCAAAATTTGAAGAGGGGATCAACCTTTGATAGAACCATCCCTTTATAGTCAAGTATATATTTCTTTATTCTCTTCTTGTTCTCTCTATGTAAATTGTATGTGTATGCTGATGCCCTCATTTTTGGCTTAAAAAGTTTTACTTTTTAAGTCCTTTATATCAGCTTAGAATAACCCAGATACTTTGGCAAAGTGATCTCTTTCAGTACCCATTCCCATCACATTTATCATTTTTATCCTTTAAAAAATTGCAAGCATTTTTTCTGATTATAAAAGTAAAAGCTGTGGCAGAAGGGATGGTATATATAGAAAAGTAAAAAGATAATAAAAATTATACCTAATCAAATGAAGCAAAAGCAATTCTAAGAAGTTCATAGTGAAAAATGTTTACTGTAAGAAAAAAGAGCTCAAATAACTGTACACCTAAAAGAACTAGAAAAAGAACACACTAAGCACAAAGTTAGTAGAAGAAGGAAAATAACAAAGAGCACAAATAAATGAAAAGGAGGCAAAAATGACAAGAGAAAATATCAGTGAAACTAGAGCTGTTTTTTTCCAAAATACAGACAGAACTTTAGCTACATGTCAAAAAAAAAAAAAAGTTCTCAAAAAGTAAAATTAGAAATGAAAGAGGAGATGTAACTGACACCACAAAAATACAAAGATTGGGGCGCTTGGGTGGCTCGGTCAGTTGAGCATCTGACTTTGGCTTAGGTCATGATCTCACAGTTAGTGAGTTTGAGCCCTGTGTCGAGCTCTGTGCTGACAGGTGGAGTCTGGATTCCATTTTAAGTTCTGTGTTTCCCGTCTCTGACCCTCCCCTGATCATACTGTTTCTCTCTCTTTCTCAAAAACAAACATTAAAAAATTAAAAAAAAAAGAAATATAAAGATCATAAGTGATTACTGTGAATAATTATATACCAAAAAATTAGGCAATCAAGAACAGAAAAGTTCCTGGAAACTTACAACTTACCAAGGGTGAATCATGTGAAATAGAAAATTTGAACAGACCAGTCACAGTAAGGAGATTGAATGAGTAATCAAAGACCTCCCAAGAAAGAAGAGTACAGGACCTGATGGCTTCAGAGGTGAATTCTGCCAAACATTAGTAAAATTAATGCCAGTCCTTTCCAGACTCTTCCAAAAAATAGAAGAAGAGGGAATACAGTTGACTCTTAAGCAACATGGGTTTGAACTGATGTGGATCCACTTTTATGTGGATTTTGATAAATATAATACAGTACTGTGCATGTATTTTATGTTTTTCTCTCTTTATTGTAAGAATATAGTATTTAACACATAGAATATACAAAGTGTGTGTTAATTGACTGTTCATGTTATCAGTAAGGCTTCCAGTCAGTAGCAGGTTATTAGTAGTTAAGTGTTTGGGGAGTCAAAAGTTATCCATGGATTTTCAGCTGCATGGTGTGCCAGTGGCCTCAACCTCTGCATTACTTAAGAGTCAGCAGTATTTCAAAGCCATTTTTATGAGGCCAGTATTACTCTGACACCAAAACTAGATAAGGATCCTACAATGGAAGAAAATTACAGGCCAACATCCCTGATAAATACAGATGTAAAACTCTTCCACAAACTGAACAGAAGTAAATTCAACAGTCCCTTAAAAGTGTCATATGCCACGATCAAGTGGGATTTATTGCAGTGAAGCAAGGATGGCTCATCCACAGATCAGTCAATGTGATACACCACATTAATAAAATGAAGGATAAAAATCAAATGATAATCTCAGTAGATGCAGAAAAAGCATTTGACCAAATTCAACATTCATTTATGATAAAGACTACCAACAAAGTGGGTATAGAGGGAATGTGCCTCAACATGATAGAGGCAGTATATCCACAGCTGACATCATACTGAATGGTGAAGAGCTGAAAGCTTTTCTTCTAAGATCAGAAATGAAGACAAGAAAGGCCAAACTTGGCTTCCAACCCCCTCACTCCCCTTTGCAAGGACCTAACTGTTCTTAGATTATTCATCAGTTATTTTTGCAGTGAGCAATTATGATGGATGAGGTAATGTTCCCTATATGCAAAGAGCCAATCTCACCATTTTTACTTGACATAATACTGAAAATTCTGGTCAGATCAGGCAAGAAAAAGAAATGCATTCATATTGGAAAGGAAGAAGTAAAGTTGTTTATATTTGCATAATTGTGATATTAGCTATAGAAAACCTTAAAAGACTTCAGGAAAAAAACCTGTTAGAACTAATAAATGAATTTAGTAAAATTGCAGATATATAATTAGTATACAAAAATCTGTTGTGCTTCTATATACTAACAATGAAATGTCAGTGAAATTAAGAGAAAGTCCTGAGGCACCTGGGTGGCTCAGTCAGTTAAGCGACCAACTTCGGCTCTGGTCGTGATCTCCTGGTTCATGAATTCAAGCCCCGTGTTTGACTCTGTGCTGACGGCTCAGAGCCTGGAGCCTGCTTCGGATTCTGTGTCTCCTTCTCTCTCTGTCCCTACCTTGCTCATGCTCTGTCTCTCTCTCAATTAAAAAAAATTATGAATAAACATTTAAAAAAATGAAGAAAACCAGTCCCATTTACAGTTGCATCAAAAAGAATAGAATGCCTAGAAATAAGGAAGAGAAATATCAGTACACTTAAAGTTATGACAGTGATGAAAAACATTCAAGGCATAAATAAATGGATAGATACTCTGTGCTCATGGCTTGGAAGATTTAGTATGATAAAATATCCATACTACTCAAAGCTGTCTACAGATTCCATTATATGTTTATCAAAAGTCCAATGGTATTTGCATGGAAATAGAACAAATAATCATAAAATTTGTATGAAATCACAAAAGATATCAAATAGCCAAAGTAATCTTGAGAAAGAAGAACAAAGCTGGAGGCATCATACTTCTGAAATTGAAAACATATCCCAAAGCTGTAAGAATCTCAACAGTATGGTATTGGCATGAAAACAGACACATAGATTAAAGGAACAGAATAGAGACCTTAGAAAGAAACCCTACAGATACATGGTCAATTAATTTATGACAAATTAGCCAAGAATAGACACTGGGAAAGGATAGGCTCTTCAATAGTGTTGGGGAAAAATTGGACCCCTATCTTACACCATGCACAAAAGTCAACTTTAAATGGACTAAAGACTTGAATGTAAAACCAACCTGCAACCATAAAACTAGAAATAAACAAGGGTAAGTTGCTTGAGATCGGTCCTGGTGATAAGTTTTAAATGTGACACCAAAGGCAAAGACAACAAAAGCAAAAATCAACAATTAAGAGCACATTAAACTAAAAGGCTCCTGAACAGCAAAGGAAATCATCAATAAAATGAAAAGGCCAACTTACCAAATAAGAGAAAATATTTGCACGATATATATCTGATAAGGGGTTAATATACAAAATATATAGAGAACTCACACGACCCAATAGCAGAAACCATGACTAATTAGATTAAAAAGTAGGATGGGGTGCCTAGGTGGTTCAGTTGGTCGAGCATTCAACTCTGATTTCAGCTCAGGTCATGATCCCAGGGCTGTGAGCTCAAGCGCTATGTCAGCTCCACACTCAGTGTAGAGCCTGCTTAAGATTTTCTCTCTCTCCCTTTCTCTGTCTTTCCCTCCCTCCACACCTGCCCCCCTCTCCTGCAGTCTGTCTAAAAAAAGAATAATAAAAATAGGCAGAATAACATAATAGACCTTTTTCTAAAGGAGACCTATAAATGGCCAACAGGTACATTAAAAAAGCCCCCAACATCACTAATCTTCAGGGAAATGCAAAACAAAACCACAAAGAAATATCAACTCCCACCTGTTATAATGTCTGTCATCAGAAAGAGAACAAGTGTTGGTGAGGATCTGGATAAAACG